TTTTCCATTTTTATATAAAAGATTTATAGCTAATACTAAATTATTTGAAAGACATATAGGTTGAATAATAAAGCTTTCTTGAATTTTTATAGATTTATTTTATTTTTACAAAACAAAAATGTATCTTAAGACCTCGGACGCTCCTTTTTTTCTTTGTAAAGAGCAAGCAAAGAAACGTTGGCAACCTTGACAACCTTAAACCTGACTCCGGGAATGTCACCAACAGCGTGGCCTTTACGACCGAATCCTGCAACTAAGACTTCATCGTTCTCCTCAATGGAATTGAGACAACCGTCCCTTGGTACAAAAGCTGTGATTTTTTTTCCATTTTTGATCAACTGTACCCTGACGCACTTCCTAATGGCAGAGTTGGGCTGTTTGGCTTCAACACCACTGTTGATACAATAAAATTGGTTAGTAAAAAGAAAGAAACAGAAATATACATTAACAATTTTCAAAAGAGAAAATAAAATTGTTGACTCAAATTGATCATAGATCATGGCTGTAGTTATGATTTTTAGTAAACTGAAAGTTGAATGTGTACATACACTTTCTCAAGTACGATGCCTTTTGCATGAGAGGCACCTCCGAAAGGATTGGCCTTCCATCTCGTGCCAAGATGTGCCTTTTTGTAGTCTTTGTCGTTCCATCTTTGATCACGCCTGTGATTGACGTGCTTTCGGGCAGTTCGAAGACCGCGGGGCTTACCTGAAAAAAAAATATATCGAGTGAGAAACAGAATTTCATAACCTTACTTGCTCAGTTGCACAGGTTAGAAGATTTAATTTCACTGTCACGTCACGCTTCAACAAGTATCTCTGCTAAACAACCACTGCAAAAAAACGGATTTTTTAGCAGATGCGAATTACTATAGTTATCGTTTTGATTAAACGTGAAGAAGTTATGTTCGCATCATCAAGAGCACATGGCTATAGGACTTGGAGGGCTGATGATTTTTTACGACAAATCTCACTTGTATAACTGGGAGTGCAATTTAAGGACTTGCACCGCGCGTTAATTATGAAAAATTAAATCTTCAACACTGAAAGTTATTGCAAAATAACGAATATTAAACGAAAAGTAATCACAAATTTGGAAACATACCCATGATTCTCTGTGACTGTAGACAGAAGAAAGAGCGTGATTTGCGTTGCGTGCTTGTGCTGCTCTCTGAGCTCTCGTGGCGGTGGTGGCGCTACTGGAGTACTGGACGACCAAAGAAAAGAGAGGGAGAGTCACGGTCGGTAGTACCGACTCGGTATATATATATGAAAAAAGTCGTAGACTTGATATTTTTTCACGACGGCGACGTCTGGCGACGTGGAAAATAATTTGTCAAAGGACTAAAAGTAATGAAAATTACCCCCTTGTATTGTTTTGACAAGTTGACACAATAGACAAATAATCATTGGAACTTTTAACATTGGCAATTCATTAAGTGCTTAACTTTTTCAGAGTTGATTTTATATCCGGCAAAAAGAACACTGTAATACAGGTAAGTGAACCCAGTATTTATTTTGACGTTACACTGCTGATTCCAATGTGCAAAGTGTTGTATGTATTTGCATATGTAGAAATTCAAAGAGAATTATGAATTTTTTTTTGTATACACACAAACCAATTAATGCTTGATGAATTTGTAATGCATAAGCTGATAATGGAAATTAACAAAGAGAAAAGGCAAAGAACAACGTCAACAAGGGAGTCTAATTTTTATCACAACCAAGATAAGGATTATTATAGAATAGATAGCATAGTTGATAACGTATTTAAAAAGTCATTTACCCTCACTGGCAATGAGAGATACACTCTTCCAAAGCCTGAATCCATGTTTGTCGAAGAATCATGGGAAATTGAAGAACTACAACAGATTAAACAAAAACTGAATGAAACTAAATCGAAACTAAACAATTTCTGTTTGGATAATTGGCACCAACATACTTCACAAAGAAACAAAGCTAAAGACATAGAATGGCGAGTGCGCAGGGAATTTGATCCGGAATTTGTGACACAAGCATGGTGCAAATTTCACGAGATTGTCTCTAAATATCCATTAGTTCCAAAAGAAAGTATTTTTAGAAACGAAAATTCATTTGTATCTTTACACTTGTGTGAAGCTCCTGGTGCTTTTGTAACTTGTTTGAATCACTGGTTAATGACAAATGCTCCAACTATTCATTGGAACTGGTTGGCTATGACTTTTAATCCATATTATGAGGGAAATTCTAATGCTAAAATGATTAGTGATGATCGTTTCATACTACATACTTTGAAAAATTGGTTTTTTGGAGAAGATAACAGTGGAAACTTGATGACCTTGGAAAACTTGGAAGCTCTCGTGAAAAAAACACAAGCAAAGGGAAAAGTTAATTTAGTAACTGCTGATGGGAGTATAAACTGTCTTAACAACCCAGGGGAGCAAGAAGGAATCGTAGCGAGTCTTCATTTTTGCGAAGTTGTAGCCGCTATGCATATTTTAGAAGCTAGTGGAAACTTTTTATTAAAAATTTTCACAACTTTTGAGCATCAATCTGTTTGTTTGATATTTTTTTTATCTTGCGTTTTTCAAAAATTACATTTTTACAAACCAGTCACTAGTAAAGAGGGAAATTCCGAGGTCTACTTGATATGTCTCAACTTTAAGGGGAAAGAATTCATTTCACCCTATTTGACTGTACTTAAAAAAGAATATGGACAAAGTTCTACCAAAGCAATGTTTTGTAAAAATGATGTACCAGACAGTTTTGTACAGCAATTAATTTCTTGTGCTCGAATTTTCAAAAATTATCAGTGCGAAGTTATAGATAGCAACATTGCGGCATATTCTGATAGTCATCAATCCAAAAACAATTATGAAGTAAAAAGGATAGCAAAATTAGTTGCAGATAAATATTTGATGAAATTCCTACTGCAAAAGTTACATACAGACTTACAAATCGTTGGAAATCTAAGATTAAAAAAAAATCGAATTAATCACTGGACTGTACAACCCGCTGCTGAGTCGTATAATGAGCGTCAGAAAAAACAACTTTCTGAGCCTATCTATCGAATATTAACGTTTAAAGAACAGTTCAAATATTTAGAACCAAATACTTTTATATTCAAAGTAAGACATTACGTGCTTTCACTATTTCTTTAATTACCGTACAATTTTTGTATCTTCTTACTCTCCTTTTTTTTTACAGCCTGTTAATTCTTGCATTAGTATCAACATTAGCGTCGGAAAACCTTACGATAGAGTGCAGAGCTCAAGATTTTGCTCGGTACAAATTGCGGAAATTTACAATCTTTTATTTCAAGCCATTGATGTAGAAAAAAACAAAATGATCTGTTTACCTATCAAAAAAAAAGTTTTACATTATGAAAATCATATAAAAGAGCTTCAGAATTATTCATGTGAAATTATTAAATTTCAGTATACTCAGACTTATACAAATAATCAAACTCTTGCTCTTGTAAGGGAAGCCCTAAATAATTTGAACAAGGGTGAAAATTTGATTATTCTTGGATTTCAATTGCTAACTCAATTTAATGTTGGCCTAATATACCTACTGTCATACACTTTTGTAACAGTAGAATTTCTCACGAATGAACAGATAGGATGTTGTATTAACTTTAAATGTTTCAAAAGTAGAGAACTTGTTTTACAAAAACTTGAAGATTTATGTCAGGCTACAGAAAAGGCCGTGGAGAAAAATCTTACTGTTTTGTCAATAACGTCCATATTGGAATTATATGGTAAGATTTTTATAAAATTTTGGTTTGTTATTATTCTTATTGAATTTATATTAAAATTTTTTGTAGATTCGGACTTGTATCCTATTATTGTGAAACTGAACAATTGGATTGCTAAATTTTGTGTGGATTATATTTCTGTAACTTATGAAGAATTGGATAAACAAGACTCAATAGAATAATGATTAAAATAAATTTTTTTTTTTTAAACAAAACGTACTTTGATTTGATAACAAATCCCTGACGGTTGTATGTAAAAATGTAAATAAAATAAAAGTCCAACTATTAAAGACAGATAGTGCAAAAACCGCTTTAATTGTTATGAAGCGGTATAGAGCTCAATTCAATTCTGTTTAACATGATTTAATTATTATAAAAACATTTTTAATGTCATCAAAGTTTGCAACTCATTGTAAAAAAATGTCATGCACAAATCAATAATTAACATTTATGAATACTTAAGTGATTGGATGAAGCAGTGTAAGATTTAAAGTATTTTATTTTTAAATAATTAAATAATATATTACTGAGTGTGATTTTTTTCAGGTTCTCAACAGTTTTCCAAAGAAAAGAGAGGGAGAGTCACGGTCGGTAGTACCGACTCGGTATATATATATGAAAAAAGTCGTAGAATTACAAAAATGTATCTTAAGACCTCGGACGCTCCTTTTTTTCTTTGTAAAGAGCAAGCAAAGAAACGTTGGCAACCTTGACAACCTTAAACCTGACTCCGGGAATGTCACCAACAGCGTGGCCTTTACGACCGAATCCTGCAACTAAGACTTCATCGTTCTCCTCAATGGAATTGAGACAACCGTCCCTTGGTACAAAAGCTGTGATTTTTTTTCCATTTTTGATCAACTGTACCCTGACGCACTTCCTAATGGCAGAGTTGGGCTGTTTGGCTTCAACACCACTGTTGATACAATAAAATTGGTTAGTAAAAAGAAAGAAACAGAAATATACATTAACAATTTTCAAAAGAGAAAATAAAATTGTTGACTCAAATTGATCATAGATCATGGCTGTAGTTATGATTTTTAGTAAACTGAAAGTTGAATGTGTACATACACTTTCTCAAGTACGATGCCTTTTGCATGAGAGGCACCTCCGAAAGGATTGGCCTTCCATCTCGTGCCAAGATGTGCCTTTTTGTAGTCTTTGTCGTTCCATCTTTGATCACGCCTGTGATTGACGTGCTTTCGGGCAGTTCGAAGACCGCGGGGCTTACCTGAAAAAAAAATATATCGAGTGAGAAACAGAATTTCATAACCTTACTTGCTCAGTTGCACAGGTTAGAAGATTTAATTTCACTGTCACGTCACGCTTCAACAAGTATCTCTGCTAAACAACCACTGCAAAAAAACGGATTTTTTAGCAGATGCGAATTACTATAGTTATCGTTTTGATTAAACGTGAAGAAGTTATGTTCGCATCATCAAGAGCACATGGCTATAGGACTTGGAGGGCTGATGATTTTTTACGACAAATCTCACTTGTATAACTGGGAGTGCAATTTAAGGACTTGCACCGCGCGTTAATTATGAAAAATTAAATCTTCAACACTGAAAGTTATTGCAAAATAACGAATATTAAACGAAAAGTAATCACAAATTTGGAAACATACCCATGATTCTCTGTGACTGTAGACAGAAGAAAGAGCGTGATTTGCGTTGCGTGCTTGTGCTGCTCTCTGAGCTCTCGTGGCGGTGGTGGCGCTACTGGAGTACTGGACGACCAAAGAAAAGAGAGGGAGAGTCACGGTCGGTAGTACCGACTCGGTATATATATATGAAAAAAGTCGTAGACTTGATATTTTTTCACGACGGCGACGTCTGGCGACGTGGAAAATAATTTGTCAAAGGACTAAAAGTAATGAAAATTACCCCCTTGTATTGTTTTGACAAGTTGACACAATAGACAAATAATCATTGGAACTTTTAACATTGGCAATTCATTAAGTGCTTAACTTTTTCAGAGTTGATTTTATATCCGGCAAAAAGAACACTGTAATACAGGTAAGTGAACCCAGTATTTATTTTGACGTTACACTGCTGATTCCAATGTGCAAAGTGTTGTATGTATTTGCATATGTAGAAATTCAAAGAGAATTATGAATTTTTTTTTGTATACACACAAACCAATTAATGCTTGATGAATTTGTAATGCATAAGCTGATAATGGAAATTAACAAAGAGAAAAGGCAAAGAACAACGTCAACAAGGGAGTCTAATTTTTATCACAACCAAGATAAGGATTATTATAGAATAGATAGCATAGTTGATAACGTATTTAAAAAGTCATTTACCCTCACTGGCAATGAGAGATACACTCTTCCAAAGCCTGAATCCATGTTTGTCGAAGAATCATGGGAAATTGAAGAACTACAACAGATTAAACAAAAACTGAATGAAACTAAATCGAAACTAAACAATTTCTGTTTGGATAATTGGCACCAACATACTTCACAAAGAAACAAAGCTAAAGACATAGAATGGCGAGTGCGCAGGGAATTTGATCCGGAATTTGTGACACAAGCATGGTGCAAATTTCACGAGATTGTCTCTAAATATCCATTAGTTCCAAAAGAAAGTATTTTTAGAAACGAAAATTCATTTGTATCTTTACACTTGTGTGAAGCTCCTGGTGCTTTTGTAACTTGTTTGAATCACTGGTTAATGACAAATGCTCCAACTATTCATTGGAACTGGTTGGCTATGACTTTTAATCCATATTATGAGGGAAATTCTAATGCTAAAATGATTAGTGATGATCGTTTCATACTACATACTTTGAAAAATTGGTTTTTTGGAGAAGATAACAGTGGAAACTTGATGACCTTGGAAAACTTGGAAGCTCTCGTGAAAAAAACACAAGCAAAGGGAAAAGTTAATTTAGTAACTGCTGATGGGAGTATAAACTGTCTTAACAACCCAGGGGAGCAAGAAGGAATCGTAGCGAGTCTTCATTTTTGCGAAGTTGTAGCCGCTATGCATATTTTAGAAGCTAGTGGAAACTTTTTATTAAAAATTTTCACAACTTTTGAGCATCAATCTGTTTGTTTGATATTTTTTTTATCTTGCGTTTTTCAAAAATTACATTTTTACAAACCAGTCACTAGTAAAGAGGGAAATTCCGAGGTCTACTTGATATGTCTCAACTTTAAGGGGAAAGAATTCATTTCACCCTATTTGACTGTACTTAAAAAAGAATATGGACAAAGTTCTACCAAAGCAATGTTTTGTAAAAATGATGTACCAGACAGTTTTGTACAGCAATTAATTTCTTGTGCTCGAATTTTCAAAAATTATCAGTGCGAAGTTATAGATAGCAACATTGCGGCATATTCTGATAGTCATCAATCCAAAAACAATTATGAAGTAAAAAGGATAGCAAAATTAGTTGCAGATAAATATTTGATGAAATTCCTACTGCAAAAGTTACATACAGACTTACAAATCGTTGGAAATCTAAGATTAAAAAAAAATCGAATTAATCACTGGACTGTACAACCCGCTGCTGAGTCGTATAATGAGCGTCAGAAAAAACAACTTTCTGAGCCTATCTATCGAATATTAACGTTTAAAGAACAGTTCAAATATTTAGAACCAAATACTTTTATATTCAAAGTAAGACATTACGTGCTTTCACTATTTCTTTAATTACCGTACAATTTTTGTATCTTCTTACTCTCCTTTTTTTTTACAGCCTGTTAATTCTTGCATTAGTATCAACATTAGCGTCGGAAAACCTTACGATAGAGTGCAGAGCTCAAGATTTTGCTCGGTACAAATTGCGGAAATTTACAATCTTTTATTTCAAGCCATTGATGTAGAAAAAAACAAAATGATCTGTTTACCTATCAAAAAAAAAGTTTTACATTATGAAAATCATATAAAAGAGCTTCAGAATTATTCATGTGAAATTATTAAATTTCAGTATACTCAGACTTATACAAATAATCAAACTCTTGCTCTTGTAAGGGAAGCCCTAAATAATTTGAACAAGGGTGAAAATTTGATTATTCTTGGATTTCAATTGCTAACTCAATTTAATGTTGGCCTAATATACCTACTGTCATACACTTTTGTAACAGTAGAATTTCTCACGAATGAACAGATAGGATGTTGTATTAACTTTAAATGTTTCAAAAGTAGAGAACTTGTTTTACAAAAACTTGAAGATTTATGTCAGGCTACAGAAAAGGCCGTGGAGAAAAATCTTACTGTTTTGTCAATAACGTCCATATTGGAATTATATGGTAAGATTTTTATAAAATTTTGGTTTGTTATTATTCTTATTGAATTTATATTAAAATTTTTTGTAGATTCGGACTTGTATCCTATTATTGTGAAACTGAACAATTGGATTGCTAAATTTTGTG